CACTTGATTATGTGTGAATGGTAAAATGAAATTCTCAGGTAAAATGTATGTAAATTACCTAATTTAGCGAGCTCAAATCTCGATTCGTATATTATTTACTATGATGACTAACAGAATGAAGCAAAATAAATAACTATAAATAAACGCGTGACCAATGTCAACCATTTAAATAGACAAAATAATAATAATAGTAAGAAGCAAAATATTTATTTTTATATTTTATGMATTGATTATTATTTTTTAGTCAGAAAGTCTTTCAATAATCATCAAGTTCGATGTTTCACATCTGTCAAGTGGATACTATTGTCTGTTTCGTCTAGTATCATGCAAAAATAAGAAGCTCGAATGCCAGTTTAAACTTCTATTGGTCTACGCCGACGTCGTTTGTTGCTGATACTTGGTTTATGCGTCTATATTGTCCAGTACCTACCTACTCTTTAGTCCAGCGGATCCCAACTTTTTATATACGCATATCCTTTACACATTTAGAACATTTTTCAGCAGGAACCGCTGCTAGTTTGTACCATAGTATAGTGTCTACAGTCTACACTATGTCGTGTCTCTCCTTGGCCATCACCTTTGACTTTTGTTTGGTCGTGTTAATTATTGAAAATATCACCACTACTTACATGATTTTTTTAAGTTTTCCATTTAGGCATATTTCAACATACATAATTGCATTCTATAATCTATCACTTCCGTCAATTTTTATTTATTAGAAAAACAGAAAAATACATTTAACAGAAATTCCGGCAGAGGTTATAGTGGTCGTGCACACGAGTACCTAATATCCACCGTCAATCTGCGACGATGTGTTAAAAATTATACTGAGAACATATTTTGCGACATTACAAATCGCATTCGGATCCTGATAATTACGTAAAAAAATGCAAGCTTTGCGGGTCCGTCAGCAAAAGCTACCAAGAATCAATGGTACATGGAGCTGCAGGAATCAAACTGTTTTATTGAACCTATAGGTAATGTTAGGTATTGCTATATTATTGTTACTATTGAAATAATAAACGTTATTTAAATGGCCAGCAAAGCATCAACACGTCTTGTAAACACATACGTATAAGAACAAATATTAACATTTTCGATTTTTTTTTTTTGTCAAAAGTTAGATGTTAGATTTATATTCACACGAACGAAAAATCTCCCTACATTCGTTCCCTTTTAAAAAACCACGTTATACRACTAGCGCTAACAAACAAAACCATTTTCTACTATGTTCCTAGTTAAAACTAACGTTTTGATAATATTTTGTTGCAAAAATGTAATTTTCCGATCCTGTTAACTTTCTGTTTTAGTTATGAAATTTGCTCGGAAAACTTTCTACTGCTAAAGTGCTAAATTCAAAACCAATTAAAATATTTTAGATAGTTGTGGAAATGGCTAGTAACCAGTCTCGTCAGAACTCAATAAGACATTTTCGATGTGTGAACAAAGGCCATAATGAGGCGTCCRAACATATTGGTTTTAATATAAATATTTCAAATAATAAATAACATAAACAAAAGTTAGTTTAGTTAAATAGAAAAYGTTCTTTATAAATCTATAAAGTAGCTCTTCAACAATTCGATATATTTTTTTTGGAACAAGATTTGCTGTGTAAATAAAAACCAAGGATATGATTACTATGACGGCCTTTATTATTGGACTACAGCATTGACTATTGGTGACACTAAATTTAATTTAATATCAAAATTAAGATTAAAAAAAATTGATTTATACTCAAGGTTCATAGAAAATCTAATAACAGTAATAACTAATAAACCTCGCCGTAGTTTTTATTACATGTATTTTTTATTTTTTCCACCAAATAAAAATTTCGGGAGAAAAAKATTTCAGAATGTTAGTTATGGATACATGTTTCCAAATGGGAAATTCAATTGTAAAACACGACTAATCAAAGGTGAAATATGATGATCAAGGAGGGACACGGCATAGCGTAAATGCTATAGGGTAGGTAAAGACTATATATAGCAGTGGTTTCCAACCTGTGGTAAGCGGAAAACTCATAGGTCTTACGCAAAGAAATTGTTTGATTAGCAAATAAAAAACATTTTAATAAGAATGTACCTGAATATAAATCGACCTGCGTTAAGGCCCGCCAAGGTTAGGTAAAAGGAATGGTTTTGACGACTCAGTTTTTGCGTTACCGTCTAAACAGCTGTTTTTAAATTAACTAAGCCATATTATATGATGTACTATTAACACATACACACACACACACACACACACACATATATATATAAATATATCTATGAGTATTAGAAAAACAAAAAAAGGTTTCCTAAATGTATTATAGTGGTATGGTATATATTATTATATGATAAAAAGTTTGGGATCCGCTAGCTGGACTAAAGAGCCGGAGAGTATTCAAGTGACATAACCGGACAACTTACAGTCTGCAACCGACACCCTGAGAAATCCACTTTCGTTCGGCGTCAACGTGTACTTCACTAGTTTCGTTTTTCTGTTGCAACGRACGTTGTACGCGCATACACACGAGGTGCTCATGTCCGGTGACTTAGCCGCGTGCGTTTCGTTCGCCGGATGTTCCTCGAGGATCGTGTCACCGGTATAATCACAGGTCGAGTGCATCAACGACACGGTTACTCCCGGTTCCAAGTACATCGATTCTTGGTAGCTTTTGCAAACAGTCCCGCAAAGCTTGCTGGAGTCCGTAGGAAAAGTCACTTCCGTAATGATATCGGCGTACATGTACAAATTTGCCTTGCACAAATGCATAATTTTTGACTCTGGGAATTTTTCACCTGTGAAACGATCGTATTAATAAAAAAAAAATCCKAACGGTGATACTATTAATTATATCAGGTATATTAGGTAGAGGGATGTAATTAAGCGGGAATGAAGAGAATAGATCCCCCTAAAAAACTTTTATTTTATTTCTTAAATTGTATATTTTGTGGTRTAGATTACTGTACGAGGCTTATAAACTTTGCTAAAAAATTTATCCCCCCTCTCAAACCAAATTCCTAATTATGTCACTGATTGGGTATATTAATATATATATTGGGTTGTTATTTGGTTAGGACRCAGTGAATAATATTTGCCTTCTCACCGGCCCTTTTAAATTTGYCTGGGTCGTGAATAGGATATCCGGTCATACTGCAGTGTGGGTGCATGATATTACATTCACCRCTTTGGCTGTAAGATGTGAACGATAATTCTCAATTATACGATTTCTATTCAAAATATTTTTCAATGTGAATTTTAAGCACGAGGGCCTGGAAAAATGCCCAGCTTTGTCCCCTCCCCTTAACCTCAGCCTTGCCTAAYCCGACMAGTGCTCTGTTTTTTAAACTCATAAGTCATTATAATAATTTTTATTCTACATTAATGTAAATACAATTTTAGACAAATGTTTAAAATATTAATTACATTATTTATTTATAATACAACACGGGCTTTTGTCCAATTTTAATAATACATTATTAATATAATAAATAGATTATATTATAAAGAAAGATTAAAAATTGTTTAGTGAGAAGGAAGGGTCTAAATAAACTAAATACATACAACGACGTAGTGGTTCATTTTTACCATAGTTAGTTGAGGAGGTGGCGAGTGATAAAGGAACAGGATGGCGAGATGTTCCGACTGAAACATTAAAGGAGACTTGAGAAAGTAAGTACGGTGAGTCAATTTTTCCCTGCAATAAATTGGGCAAAAAGGTGAGATTTGCTGCTCGCCTATACACGTATTTAGGCCGAACGCCTAATTTTAGGCATTGGTCGTCAATAATACATTGTAATAAAACGATATTGTTAGAAAATAATAGAATTTATAATAATTTAGGCAGTACTTTTACAAACCACTAATTGACGTGAGAGACTACGCGAGTGACCCAATCGTTTGTTTTGACTTTTTGAGTTTTGTGCCTTTGTTATTTATTTATTTTTTATTTTATTTTATAACAATATACTATGAAAAATTGATAAAAATTAAACGAAATTACTATTTAATAACCTAACCGGACCTAACTTAAATTTTGATCCTGGGCCCATGTTCGGACTACTACCTAAATATCAGTAAGAATTTTATATTATTTTCCAATTTTATTTTACCTATCCGTAGACACGTTCACGATTTCTTGTAAAAATAATAAATATGTGTACGTATAACTAACCCAAGATCTCGAGAGGGTCCCTGAAATTTCCTTCACCAGACGGCGGAGTAATGCGAAATCCATCTTTATTGGTTTTTTTCGTATCCTGATTTTCTCCACCTGAAATTATAACTGAACGTATATATCTAAACTATAATATATTATAAATAAATATTGTATGATACTTTTTGTGTTTATTTATTACTTAGTAAAAACAAAAATGTGAAAATGTTATGTTATAATATGTCAAAATGAAAAAATATGTGTTACTATTAAATATTGTATTACTATTTATCGGAATCGGGCGACTGATGATTGGCTGTAGCTGTAATAACAGCGAAGACATGACTTGAAACACCACTAGCGTTGAAATCATAATTTTAGTCAACAATTAGAAAGAAATTCAATAATTTTCAGAATAATTTTGTTTGACTATATACACATTATACATATGAAGGAAAACACGGAAATTTGTTTTCAAAAATTAATATTATTTACATTATAACAAGACGTTACTATACAATATTAACAAATCAATGTTTGTATCTATTTTAATAATTTTCAATATTTCTTGATGAGGTGTTTAAAAACAAGAATTAAATTATATTTATTTAATTTATTTATTCATCCATCGAAATATTAAGCACGGGTTAGACAAAATAACATATCTATGATTGAAAATGTATTTTTAATTTGAAAGTAGGTACATGGCACACTTTATTTGATAAACATTAATACAATTTACAATTAGTATTTAGTAATATATGTACAAGGTACTTATGTAGTATGTACTCTAATGACCAGTTTGAACTCATAATCCAAGTACCAACATTGACAATATTGATGATAATATGATAGTAATAATGACTAATATAGATTCTATAATAATAATATTATATAGTATATAAGTATATATACTACTTAATGTTATATCATATCATATATTATATACAGGGTGTCCCGCGAGGATTTACCCACTGCGATAGGTATCTCTAAATAATGGAGATATCAAAATTTTGGTTCTATAATAAGATTCACAGGCATAAGAACTACAATTATTCCATTTTAAAATTTATT